TGGCGGCCCATGCTGTTGCTGTGGGTTGGGACACTGGGGGTGGTGCGCGTCGGGCTTGCAAGAAGAGCAAGGGCCGCCAGAGGATGACACGTTTCCGTGGCCAGCGGATCGAAGGATACGCATGCACGCCCAGGCCTTCAAGGTCTCTCAGGGCCTCTGGCTGCAAGGAGCTCTACCCCAGGCCGTGCACGGCAATCAGGCAATGGGGTTTTCTCCCTCCTCGATCCTCCTCCTCCGTCGTCGAGTTGCTCAGGCTGTCGCCAGCCGCGCCCCAGGCAGATGCCTCTCAGCTCTCCTGTCTCTCTTTGTATGGGGACCGCGAGCCCTTGATCGCCCTCAGGGTGACGCGGGGAGTCGCTGTCCCGAGTGGCAGGCCAGGATTGCGCGTTCCTGGCGCCCCATTTGCAGCCGTCTCAATCAGTTGGCTTCCGAGCGCTGGCGCAAGGTCCGCGGTCCGATCGGAGTTGCGGTTGCCGCGCTGCTGGACGTTTCCTGGGAAACTGTCTCCCCGACCGAGCGTTGCAGATCCAAGCGCGGCCAGCATGAACTCTGGGCTGTTCTTGATAATGGCGGCACCGACCGTCTCCAGGGCGATTTTGTGGCCCATGGATTGGTGGGGGATTTCAAGGGGGGCCCCCGCTCTCTCCTGTTGGCCCTGGGCCAGCAACATCCCAGATGGGGGACACGTGGCCCAGGGTGCTTTACTTATCCTCTCTGCAGAGAGAGATCCGCCACCTAGAACCTATAACGGCAGGGCGATCACGCCCCGCCCAGATTGGTCAGCTTGTCTCGTTTGCATCCGGCGCCCATTGGACTCCGCGTCGCCGGCAAGCGGGGCCATCCGGTCGACCCTCTTTTTCCACGTTGCGGGCGCGAGCCGGAGACTCTGTGCCGCCGCACGGACGTGCAGCGCCAGGCGTCGCAAGCCAGCGCGCGGTAAGTCAGCCTCACCCTGCGCCGGGGCCAACGTAGGACATGAGGCCAATCCTGGGCTCTGGCTTCGAGGGATCCCGCCCAGCTCCCACGCGCGCCCTGTATTCGAGGATGGGGGGGTGAACGTGTCGCGGGGGGTGGGTCCTTCGTCCTCTATGAATGCCGCCGCCGCCAGGGCCCCCCCTGGTCTCGCGCGGGCGTTTGGGGATGGCTCCGACCCTAGGCGACGGCGAGTCGGCGCAGCCTCCGTTTTGGCGGCCCGGGATGGCGCGGCTTGGCCACGGCGCAGACACCAGACAGTCCCAAGGGCCGAGATGTTGGCCTTTGAGCTGGCCTTCCTCATATTATGTGCGTCGCTGATAATGAGGCCCAGTGCGATGGCTGGTGCCGTTGCCGCTGCCTTTCCTGCCAGGGCTCTGCCAATTCTGATTGGTGATTTGGAATTCGATTGGCACTTCTATGGGCCGCGAGGTTGGGATCGCTATGCGACGGCTTCCCTCCCGTCCGGATCTCGCGGGCCCCTCCGAGGGAAGGGCACTCTTCGTGTCGCTAAAAAAACTGCTGGCGCCCCCGAGTCCGAGGCCGCCGCGGAGTCTTGGCGTCTTGCCGCCCTCGGCCGGCGCATGCCCGACGCAGATCGGCGGGGCGCCATTTCTCGTTTGGTATGCCAGCGGGCCGCTGAGCCCCCCGCTGAGCCCACCGTCCGCTGGGAGGCCCAGGTCGGGCCGAGTCAAAGCCGCAAACCTCCGGGCTGCCCTCCGCAGCTCGCATTGTTTGATTAAGACAGGTCCCAAGTGGATCCCCTCGCTTTGCTCGAGGATTTCTCCTTCGTCTCAGGTGCTGGAGGCATGTAGGGGCCCTCGCCCCAGCCATTCGGCTGGTGAGGGACCTTCTGGTCATGGAGTCCTTCGGGCTGGCGGGATGGCGACGGTGTGGGTGGGGGGGGGGCTCAGCTCCGCTGCAGTTAATTACCGCTTGCGTTTCTGGCCTTAGCGTTCTGTGCATTTTTCTCCTGTCGTGGTCGGTCGGCCACAGTCGACCCAGGGCAATCATTGAAGAGCGCGTGCCCTTCGCGAAGAAGGGTAGGGAGAACCTCCAGCGCACCGGGCGAGCTTCCTTCCCAAGCCACAGTGGCCCCGTGGCCCCCGTTTTTTGAGGCTGCCGCCAGCCGTGTGCGTCGCGATCAGACGCAACGCATGGTGCCTGGCGTTCTCTATGATTCGTGTCTGTAGCCACGTAGACTGTGGCTCCCATGACACTCCATAGCACCACCTTCCCTTCCCCCATTCCTTTCCTCGTCGCTGTTTCCCTTGTTTCCCGTCCCCCCTTCCTGTTTCAGGGGCTGCGCCAGCTTCGCGTGGCAGGTAAAGAAAATCTCCCTGCACAGGGAGCGCATTCGAAGACCGAGAGGGCGGGCATCAAGGGCTCGGAATCTACAGGTTGGTTGACATGTGTTCAGATTAGCAGGGGCAGTCTTACAATGATGTTGTTGAACTCTCACTCTGAAGGCATATTTTTTGTTGGATTGGTCCCTCCTCGAATTCACCTATTGCTTTTCACTTGAAGTGCCATTTCCGGGGATCGCCCCCTGTTTTCGCATGGGGCGTCGTGAGCCTCAGACTATGTTGATGGCCCCCGCTTTGCAACAACAGCGGCTCCCGCCTGATATTTCCAGACCATATATTCAAAATCGCGCTGTCGCGCGGAACATCCTCATAATCCCTCCATAAGTCGCGCTCTCGCGTGGGTCTTCTTCCCAATTGATCCTGACGAGGCGCCTTCGACATTCAGGAATCACGCGCTCGCCCTGGATAGCCTCCCGATTTTCCTGGGAAGGTCGCCGTCGTTTGAGACTCCCTCGCGGTCCTTGCAAGACTGGCGCTTCTGCGACCCGCCCGCCGGACCCGACCGCCTGGGATCGCCCGCCCGACCCACCCGCAGGATCCACCCAGCCGACCCGCCCGTTTGGTTTTGACGTTCTTCTGTTGTTCCTAGTCCCCCTCCTGCTAGTCTCTCTCGTGCTCCATCGTTCTCCCTCCCCCTTGTCCCTTCCCGACTGCCTCCTTTCATCTGTTTCCGCGGCTGCGCCATCTACGCGTTGCAGGCTTGGAAGATATACCCCCAAGGGGGTACGACGGAGGACGAAGGGGCGGGTACCGAGGGTGCGTGATAGAATTGTTGAATGACACGTGAGCAACGAGTAGAAAGCAGTCGTACATTCATTGTTGTACTTGTTGGTGGACTGTCATGCCATCAGGATAGCTTATTGTTGTTGACTAAGCGTGTTTGATTTTCAGTATTCGATATTCTTGATTAAACGTGGGTGGTGTAATGTTCACAGCGCGCACGTTCGGGCACCAATATAATTTTCACCGACGTTCAACCCCGAATAATAGTTACCGCCTGCCCTCGCGAGATGGCGGCTTAATTTTCGCCAGCGCCTATGAACACATATCGTTCGCAAAATGAACGGTTATTGGAATGTGCATCATACAGATGTTCGTCATCTACGCAGCATCCGCATCTTTCCAATATGGTCCATTCGCCGCATCTGGCAGAACCGTTCTCATCCTTTCACCAGCATCCTCATGATCGTGTGATCGTCTTCACCATCAATATCGTCATCACCAGATTCACCATTACCATTGGCGACCCTGAGATGGTGCATATTTTTCGCTGGCGTTTGGGCGACGTATTTTTCGCCGGCGTGAAGATTAGGCCGCGACGCGCGTCGTCGGGTCGCCGTGACGTCTGCAAGCACGAAGTCGGCGACGCCCGCGCACGCGAAGGGAAGCAAACAACGCATCGCACTGACAAGGTCGACTCGGCCACTTTGCGCGCGAGCGGATGTGCTTGGGTCGGTTCGATCGGCGCGGAAGCGCGCCCCCGTGCGCCCGCTGGCGGAGGCGGCGGCCCCCCTACGACGGTCACCCCCCCCACGTTTAAGAAGGGAAAAAGAGTACCCTGATTCGCACCCTGTTTTTGTACTAGGGCAGTCTGGAGCTTCAGACTATGTTGTTGACCCCCGCTTTACAACAACAGCGGCTCCCGCCTGATACGTTTGACAAGTCATTCAAAATCGAGCTCTCGCGCAGAACACCTTCACAATTAATCCACGAATCGCGCTCTCGCGTGGGACTTCTTCCCAATGTGTCCAGACGCCGCGCCTTTGACACTCAGGAATCACGTTTTCGCTTTAGAGTTCTTCACGCCCTACTTGGGTATCGCGTTTTCGTTCGAGACTCCTTCGCGATCCATGCAAGACTGATGCTTCAGCGACCCACCGTCGACCTGGCCATCTGGGCCCGCCCGTCCGACCCGCCCGTCAGGGTCAGCCCGCTCGACCCCCCCATCTGGTTATGCCGCTTGTTTTCTTGCCCTGATCCTCCCTCAGGCAATGCCCCCCAAGGGGACTACGATTGTGGACGAAGAGGACGGGTATCGAGGGTCTGGGATGTTGCATGGCACGCGAACAGATAAGAGCGAAAAACCATGTTGTACAATGAGCGTCGTTGTTGTCTGTTTGTTGTTCTTGTCGTCGTCGTCGTTGTCGCCCGCGGCCCGCCCGCAACGCCCGCGACCCTTGCCGCGACCCACCTGCGAACCACCCCGCCCGCACCACCTCACTCTTATCAGCAATTGCGGGGTGCTCGGTTTTGCAGATACCTATGCCTGCATGTGGGATCCGAGCGTCCGTCTTGATGGCGTTCGATCGTATATTCACGATCGTATCACCACTAACAGTCGTTTGCTCCGCCTCCTTTGAGGTTGTTGTCACATTCCCATACGGACATTCCTGACACCTCTATGGGCTGCCCCTGTCTCTTTCTCTCTCTCTGCTCCCCCATCCATCCACCAGGTGGCGCGAGCGCCGACGGGTCTGAACCCCTTATTCTGCCTCATCGGTCAGTGGTGCGCCCCTCACTGTCTTTCTCTCCCCCCTCTTCCTTCTTCTCCCACCACCCATTGCACCCATGGTCAGTGATGTGTCATGCTCCCCCCTCCCGTATCCTCCCCCCTTTGTTCAGTCTCCATCCCACCGCGTTTCGCTTCCCCTCCCCGGAGAGGTGTTTCCCCACGATGTGCACCGTCGCCGAGGCTCGGGCGGGCGGTCGCGCGATTTGCTGGCGCCGCCCCGCCGCCTTGCGGCGCCGTCCGCCTGGCTTCGCGCACAACCCCGACGACGACGACGACGACGACGGCCACCACCACCACCACCACCACGACGGCGGCGGCGGCGGCGTCGACGGCGGCGGCGCCACATGCCACGGGGGGTCCCAATAAGACGCGACACCGGCGGGCCAACGGGCACAAGATCGCCTAGGGGGCGAGAGATCCCCACCATGGATTTGAATGAGGAGTTGGCGGTGGAAAAGCGGAAGCGGATGACGAAGATGAGGAGTCGCATCCGATTTGCCCATCCCCATTGCCGTCATTATTATCCTCATGATCTTCATTCTTGGTCCTCGTCCTTCCTTCTCGTCATTCTCTCGTTCCTTGTCAGGTCCTCAGTTTGATCCGCATCCCATCTCCTCCCGCTCTTTCCTCGTCATCCTCATCCTTCTCCTTGTCGTCGTAATATTCCTCCTGAGGAGCAGGGAGAACGCGCATGGAAGAGGAAGGGACAAACATAATATTGTCATCCTGGCGCTCGCTCGCAGCTAGGCGTTTGCGTGCACTGCTCTGGCCCTTCCCCATTGCTGTTCAGTCTGCTCCGAGCAATCCGCCGATTCGAGTTGAGGCGTGCCCCTTACCCGAGTCCCAAACTGAAGCCTCCTCCCTCCATCCCCCCCGTATTCCATCGTCTCTCATCTCTCCTCCCTGCTTCCTCCTTCGCCCTGCTGCTGCCTTCACACCCCATCCTCCTCCCCCTCTCCCCGAGCGTAGCGCGGGGAAGCGCGGAGGCGGAGAGTTGCAACAGCGGGGGGAACCACTTGCTTTCTTGCAAGTGCGTAATTGTGCACCCCTCACACCAACCCAAGCACTTACCCGAACTGCTTCTTATCAACAGATGCGTCCGCCTCGAAGCCCACGGTTCGCGTATTATCTGGCCGGGTCACTTCATTGTAGGCTCCGAGACAGGCATTGAGCGCGATTGATCCAGCACCGTTGTCGATTACCCACCCACGGAACGGCCCTTACTGTTCCAAAGACAGTATCTGTATTGATAGGTTCTGACGTACGTGGGTTACTCTGGGGTCGGATGGGTAACCTCAGCAGTGCACGTGGCTAACTTCGCCGTCTTCTCCGAGGGCGGTGCGATCTCGCGGGATGGGAGAATTACGCCGCGGGGTGCCGCACTATCTTGCGAATTGTTACCCTTGTGGGAGCAAAACGCATCAGGGGAGGAGCTCCTGGGTTCTTCTAGAGGCCCTCTTGGAGTTATCTTTGGACCCTCTCGGGGCGGGAGGTCGCTATATTTGGAAATCGGAGCAGGAAGGAGGAACATGGCATGGGCCTGGGAGAAGGAGGGGGAAAGAAATAAGAAGAGAAGAACCAGTAGAAGGATTGCGGAGGAAGAATGGAAGGATGATGACGGCGATGACGAAAACGACGAGTCAATTATGAAGTATTTGCAGAGCTTTCCACACGCAAGTTTCTTGGAAGTGTTTTGGAGGCCTCTCAGAGTCATGTCGGAGCCATTTCTGAAGCCTTTTTAGCTCTCTTGGGGTCCCCGTGGGGCTTTATGGGGGCGTCTTGGAGGCCTCGTGGGGCAATCTTGGGCCCCACTGTTCAAAAAAAGGCGGGTCCTAAATTCGGGTCCTCCCCTCGGATGCCGAACACGTGCCTCTTGGGGCCCTCTTGTTGCGCTCTTGAGACCGTCTTGGGGCCCTCTTGGGGTTCTCGTGCACGACCTTAAGGACACCATTATCCCAGCACGACCCTACCTAGGAGTTGGAGCATTTAGGAAAGCAGCATCTACATCTACACCGACAGCTACAATTACATCTACACCTGCATCTACATCTACATCAACATCAAAAGCGAGACTCACATCTACATCTACATCTACACCTATATTTACACCTACATATACATCTACATCTACATATACACCTACATCCACATCCACACCTACACCTACATCTACATCTACATCTACACTGTGCTATGATATGCTCTGGTATGCTGTGCTGTGCTATGCTATGCTATGCTGCGCTGTGCTGTGCTAAGCGATGCTACGCTATGCTATGCTATGTTATGCTGCGCTATGCTATGCTATGCTATGCTATGCTATGCTGAGCTATATTATGCTATGCTATGCTATGCTATGCTATGCTATGCTGCGCTATGCTGTGCTGTGCTGTGCTGTGCTAATGCTGCGCTGCGCTATGCTGCGCTAAGCTAAGGTAAGCTAAGCTATGCTAAGCTAAGCTAAGCTAAGCTAGGCTAGGCTAAGCTAAGCTAAGCCAAGCTAAGCTAAGCTAAGATGAGATAAGCTAAGCTAAGCTAAGCTATGCTATGCTAAGGCTCAGCGAAGCGGGGCGGATCCTGGGGGAACCGCGGGGCGGATGCCGGGGGAACCGCCCGGGGCGGGACCCACTGCCTGGCCCCTTTAAGATACAGGGTAAGAGCCCTTCTAGGCAGAGCCTAGGTAGGGAATGAGGCTTCAACAGCCTAATGGATGCCAAAAGGCGAGAGGGCCAACACACATAGAACGCCTAGGGCTGTTGTCAGATGTTGGCCTCCTGGAGGGTACCTCGGAAGGCTCGAAGAGCACTTGGAACCATATTGGGAGTGGTCTTGGAGGTATGCCGGAAGCTATATTGAGCTATCTTGATGTGTTTTGGAGGCCAGTTTGCAGCATCTGAGGCGTTCGTGGAGCCATCTTGGACCAACAGGGGCTCTCTGCCACCTCGACCCCCCCACCCCGTCCAGGCCCAGGGGAGGGGTTAAGACACCTCCTGCCCACAACGCACGCACCGTCTCGCTCACTCCCGCCCGCCCTCCCAACACATAAGTAGCACCCGAGTATCCCTGTCAACAATCAATGCAAAGTGGTCGCGGGGCGCCCGCGCATGCTCCAGATTTGGAGGCAAAATGCATGTTGTATTGTAATTTGACGGATCGTTTGCCTGCGCGCAGCAAGCAATATGATGGCAACCCCGCCGTCCCAGTCCCAAACCAATGCAAAGTGGTCGCGGGGCGCCAGCGCATGCACTAGTTTGGGAGTCAAAGTGTACGTGGTGTTCTTTTTGACACGTATTTTTGGTCTGCGCGCAGCAATCAACATGAGGCCCCTCCTTTTATCAAAAACCAATGCAACAAATGCAAAGTGGGTCGCGGGGTGCCTTCGCATGCTCCCGATTCGTAGGCAATGTTTGGTTAGAACATTTTTGACAGTGATGGTGGGGAAGGGTGTTGGCATGGGTTCGGAATGGGTGGCCAGTCGTGTGAGATAGGGGGTGTTCATTAACAGGGAACAGGGATAACCCTTCCCCCTGAGTAGGGGAAGGAGGTGTTTTGGCAGAGGTAAGGAAACAACTCGTCATACCACCTTCGCCCAGAGAGCTAGTTGGACTATCCGATTGGTTTCGGTGTTTTACAATGGTGCTCCCGCTGCAGCGTAGTTCTCATTTGCGGATCGGCGCTTTGCTTCCGTTGTTTTGTGTTTTCGTTATATCGCGGGCTATTTTTCTGGATCCGAGTCCTCCTTAATCGTTGTCGGCCCCCTTGTTTTTCCCTCCTTCGCCTTCCCCTGGTCATCCTGCTCATCCCGCTCCTTACACTCCGGTTCCCGCTGCTCCTCCTCCTCGTCTCCTCCTGTTACTCCTGCTCCCGTTACTCCTCCTCGTCCTCCCCCTCCTCGTTGCTCCTCCTCCTCCCTTTCCTCCTGCTCCGCTCCCCATTTCCGAGTGTGCATTTCACGATGAGGCCTTTTTGAGAGTTTCAGGTCCGCGATGACACGCGTCCGTTGGTAGAGAAAAATCAGCGCAATGGAAAGGGATAGGTGGGCCATATCAGATGGCGCGGGCGCACCTAGCTCGCCCTTCTCCTGATTCTTCCCCCTCGTCGTCGTCCTCCTCCTCCTCCTCGTCCTCTCATGCCTTCGCCCTCCTCTTGTCCTTCCCTCTTCCTCCTCGTCTCCCTTCCCACCCTCCTCCTGCAGCAGGTGGCGCCGAGCGCTACCAGCGGCGCCTGCTGCGCCACCTGCCCCGCGTGACCCGAGGGGCCCCGCACGACCGGCCTGGGCGCCAGAGCGTGGTCGGCGGTTGGTTGGTTCCCGCGCCTGGGCGCAGTGAGAAAGGTCGGCAGCGTTCTCTTACCCCCCTCCAAACGGCATAGAACATAGACATAAGTTTTGGCTGGCCCGCGCGGATGTTTTGGATCTGCGCTACAGTCCCCTGGCGGCGCCTCCGGCGCCGCTCCTTGCGCGCTCCGCGAGCCAGAGAGGGGGATCCATCTCAGATCCAAGAAATCCGTGCGGACCGTCGAAAGTTCATGTTTATGTTGTTTGTTCTTCCTCTATTATCGCTCTTCCTCCTCTGGCTTTTCTCCTCCTGCGGTGCGCGCAGTCCGCCATCCGCCTCCCCCTCGTTATTCCTCCCTCTCCGCCTTCCGCAGTCTGGCGGCGCAGTTCTTCTCGTCTTGCTCATGGTGCGAGGGTTTCTCGGTGTCTGGGTAGCCCCCGCGGGGCTTCTTCTTCTTCTTCATGTCCTCCTACACCCATACATGTATATGTAGATTTCGCGTGTTCGGTCTTCTGTTGGCGGCTCGATTTGGGCTATGGATTCTCGCCTCCTCCGTCCCCTTCCCCTCCTGGTCATCCCCGTTCTTATCCTGTTTCATCTCCTTTCTCCTCCTCGTCTCCTCCACCTCCATCTGTTCTCATCAAGGGTCGTCTTTCCTCGTCGAGGCCCCACGCGTATAGGTAGTAGGGTGGGCTTGGCGTTTTGGTGTGGCTCTCGATGTAGCGCCGCACATTTGCCTCTGTCCCATCATCTGCACGTGCGGAAGGCGGCCCGTTCTTTGTATTCGGTCATCGTTTTTGTCACATGTCGTCAGCCTATTGATGGGTGGCGGCTTCGTTTCAAACTGTGATCATAGACGTAGGTAGCACTGCGCACAATCGTTTCAAACAATTCGAACCGTTACGTGGATGGAGATCGGCTCCTTTCGGAATGGGGCTGTCGCTTGAGATCTTTGTTACCCTACAACCGCATGGTCAAGTTCAGCCACGGTCAGGCAGATTCAATACGGCTCGTTGTCACACTGAGGATCTCGTTTGAGTCTCTTCCCACATGTGTTGTTTGAGTTTGGAAACCCAGCTCCCTGCGGTAAGTCCCGCCACCGTGCCAGCCGAGCATTCTGGGTGGCGCATGTTCGAGGGGCCACGGGAGGCCGCCACGTGTGACACCTCGGTTCTCCAGGCTTCGGAGAGCCGTATGCTGACGATTCGCAGGATGATGGGGTGATGACGATGTTTACGATGTTGATGGTGTTGTTTTTGTTGGTGATTATGATGTTCATGATTATGTTCATGATGCTGGTAATGATGAGGATCAGGAAGATGATGTTGGTGGTGGTGGTGATGATGACGACGACGATGATGGTGAACATGATGATGATGATTATCTAAAGGCTGCCGCCTCTGCCGCCGACCCCAATGCAGTCGTTGTGGGTTCTTTGGTTCGGGGGCCGCTTGTTGTCTGGATGCGATCTCGTGCGTGTTGGAGCGTTTTTTTTGCGCGAGGTGGGGTCTTCACTGTGGGTCTTGGGGGCCGGTGGCGGGGTGTCCGTTGGGAGGTTGGCCATTTGGGTCGCAACCAAATGGGGGGCACCGAACGAATAATTGAGCAAGAGTGGTGTGCGGAAGCGGTGGCATGCGGAGCATCACCGCGAAAGATTTGGCCGATGAGTCCAAACTGTTGAAGCGTTGCGCGTGTGTGCAGCGTGCAAGAAGGAGTTTTCGCTCGGCAGCAGCACATAAGCGCCAAACAAGAGAGCGAACACTTCACGAGGAAGAGTAAGGTCGTATGCTCAGAGCGCATTGCAGTCGGTGTCACGGTACGTAGTTGCCAGGCCTTTCAGTGCAGTGGCAAGTGCCAGAAGAAAACGCCGGACTTGGTTTTCTCCGTGGACGCCATCGATGTCGCGCGTGACGAGAATACCGGGACTTTGACACGGAAGGCATGGAAATGATACCACTAGGCTGCCCGTAGACGTAGGACCAGCAGCGGTGCGAGCGAGAGGGGCGGCAGAGCATGTGAAAAGATAAACCGAGGGGGAGTAGTCGGAGGAGGAGGTGGAGCAGGGGGAGGATTTCTTTCGGGATTTCTTTGGGCCGTCCTGGGGGATAGTGCAAAATGTATGGTGTGCGAAGGGAATGGGACGGTTTCTGTTTCATGGGATTTTCTGAGGACGCATACTGGGTAACCTTTGGGGTCGTTGTGATTGCTTCGAACGGCGTCGGGAGGCCATGGTGGGTGTATTGGAACGATGTTTGGGCGGTTCGCTGCCCTCTTGGACGTCTGGGGGGCGTTGTCGAGCTCTCTGGGGCGGTCGTGGGTACTTTTTGAAGGCTTCTTGCGCCGTCTTGGGGTGGTTTTGGGGTGTCTCTGGCATTCGTGTCCACGGTGTGAAGGCCGAAAAATCCAAAACGCTTAAAAGAGCCCTTCCCGCGGGAAAAGAATGATGTTGGGATGTTTGGGCCTTTGTGGCGTCTCTTCGATCTTCTGGGGGGCCGCTTTGGGTTTTTTTGTTGGACATCATGGGGCCTTTCACAGAACTCGTGGACAGCAGCTTCGGCCGTTGTGGGTCGTCCAGGTAAGATGTTTGAGACCGGTGAGCCTCTCCGCGGCGGCTCGGCCGGGCCTGGCCGCTTCTTCGGCTTACGCCGCACCGCCGACCCTTTGTTTTTTTCTGGCGCGTGGCGTGTGCGAGCAGACCTCCTCCTACCTCCTACGTCGTCTTACTCCTCCTCCTCCTCTCCTTCTGCTGATCGTCCGTCTCCGCCGGCAGTGTGGCCGTGCCCGCAGCGGACGACAGGACCAGCCTCCGGGGGGAGGGGTTTGGGGAGGGGGAAGCATCTCACACGCCGGTGACCCCAAGGGGTCGGCGGATTTCCCTTCTGTTTTGACGTATCTAAGTATTTGTGGGTGCTTATTTGGATGAAGATCAGAAACCTGATTGGCATCGATGCCAACGGACTCAATACTGCAATGTTTTTCATGGGAGGCGACCAGAGTGGTGCTCAATTGCATTGGCACATCGCAGCTTTCAATTTACTTTACATCGGGCAAAAGGATTGGTTATTGATTCCACCGAGGTATGCTGCAGTCAGCAAGATCCCGTCTTGGGAGTTGTTTCACATGCAGGGCTTGCGCTTGGAACATATCTATCGTTGTACACAGCAAGCTGGGGACTTAATCCTTTTGCCCGATGCTGGGGGGCATGCGACATTATGTCACGGGTTCTCGGCTGGCCTGGGCGTGTTGTATGGTTGGCGAGATCCCCGAGCCAGACAAATGAAAACGGCCCAATCTGGGCTGAAGAAGGCCCAGGAGGCCCCTGACGCGTCCCAAACTGCTCCAAGGGATCCTCCAGGAGGACATCCAGGACGATCAAATTCATTGATTTTCATGGTGGCGGAGTGAGGGGATTGCGCTCACGCGAATCCATTTCAAGGCGTGCGCGTGTTTCGCTTCGGGGCAGGTAAACGTCGTCGCGTTTATCTTCTTTTGTTTCTTCTCTCCGTCCAGGGGGGGGGCCCGGCGGGGCCTGGCCGGGGGGCGGGGGCGGTCTCGCGGGGGCCCGGAGGGGGGCGCGGGTGCAGAGGAGAAGGAGGGCCCGATCGTGGGGCGGAAGCCGAGGCAGGGCTTAGGGGCTGGGACACGAGCATCGCGAGCGCGCTCGTGAGCGCGTCCACAATCCCAGACATGCGACGTCCTGAGAAAATCAGGACGGCTATTTTTCGTTGTTTTTTACATCTGAGGCCTTCGCCGGGCTCCAGGACCGTCAAAGAACGACTCAGGATGAAAAATCCGGTCTTGGGGAAAGGGTAGGGACTTCCGGGAACCGCGTTCTGAAAAAGTTACGACGTCGCCATGTGTGGGACTAGTCTCTCTGTCTCTCTCGCTCTCCCTCGTCCTCCTCTGCCCGAGCGGGGGCGGCGGGGCGGCGACGCCCTGCCCGGGGAGGGCCGCCATGGGCTCCGCCGCGGCCGCCCCGCGCGTTGCGCTCGGCGCGGCGGTGGCGGCGTATAATCTAGGAAGTGTTCGAAGATTTGCGCGGAGTGTGGGAAGTCTCAGCGGCGCGAGTTCTTTTCTGGTCGCATGTGGGGCGACGTGGCTGCTCAGGACCGCAAGTGCATGCGTTGCATCGAAGCTGCAAATGCAAACCGGCTGACGGAAGGGCGGAAGAATGCCAAAGTTTGCGTGGAGTGCGGGAAATGTCAACCACGCGAGTTCTTTTTCGGGTCGCATGTGGGCCAACGCGGCTGATCAGGACCGGAAGTGCATGCGTTGCACCGAGAGAGCGAGAGTGCAACGCGGATGTTGGAAATGCGTAGCCTGCAAGGGCGTGTTCCCGAAGATTGAATTCGGCCGCTGGTTGGCCAAGCGGGCGACGAAAAAATCAAATGGGCTGCAACGGTGCAACGCATGTGGCGAGGACGAAGAATGCAAGGAGAAAGAAATCGCGGAACGTAATTATGCCATGGTCGGGAAGAGGCAGAAAGTGAAGTAGTGGTTATGCCAAGGCAGCGCGGGAGCTGTGCGCGGCGAGCACAAGAGGAAAGGAGGCTTTTTAGTGTCCGGCCTGAAAAAGGGGCGCACCTGGAAGGAGCATGGGAGGACGAGGAAAGGGAAAAGAGGAAGGACGGAGGACATCGGTGGGGTGGGGGGTCCCAAAAACAGAAGCTCCATGGGGTGGGAGTGCCGGGGCGTGGTGGGGGGCGTGGTGGGGGATGTCGGTCGGTTTTGGGCAAGGAATGGTGGGGTGGGAGTCCCAAAAAACAGAGTCTACATGGGGTGGGAGTGCCGGGGCGTGGTGGGGGGCGTGGTGGGGGGTGTCGGTCGGTTTTGGGCGAGAAATGGTGGGGTGGGGGGTTCCCAAAACAAAAGGGCCATGGGGTGGGAGTGCCGGGGCGTGGTGAAGGGCGTGGTGGGGGGTGTCGGTCGGTGTTTGGCGAGAAATGGTGGGGTGGGGGGTCCCAAAAACAAA